TAGCAACCAGTGTTATGCTGAGAGACAGGAACATGAAACTAGCCATATTTATTCCCAAGATGTCAACAATAAATTTTACAGTTTGAAAAGGGATGGAACAGGTCAGGTTGTTTCATAAAGGTCAAAGATAAAAGGGTAAAATATTAAAGCATTTTTGCTTTGCCATTATTTTTTAATTTCATTGCAAATAAATGAAAAGAAACATTTTCACTATATATTTCTTTTACTTAATGCAACAGTTTTCGATTTAAGTTGACATTATTCCTATATTCTAAGACTTCTAATTTCCCCATAATTAAGGTCACAACTCACACAAACATGCCACATGACAAATAATATAATCTAGAACAAAATAAGCATATCAGCTTATTTTCATGAATACAATCAATGTTAATGTGCCATTTTATACAGAACATCATACATAATAATAATATAAAAATAAGAAAAATAAAGGCATAAATTTTTATAATTTTCTAAAGGTGGCGCTCTACATTTTAGTATTTAGCATATGGTTAAAATTTTAAAGAAAAAGAATTCCTCCAGGTTTCCTCACTAGTTATACTGGCTATTTAAAAAAGACTTCGTTTATGTTAGGTATTGTTCAAAGAACCTTTAATTTCCATTATTTTGGAGTATGATTGATGGTTGCAATATGGGTTACAGAGTACACAGCTTAGCCTTACTCCAGATGTGCACCTTTCAAAAAAGTGCTAGCTCGACTTACTCATTTTCAGTTCCTTCACTTTAGAGGCAAATTGTACAAATAAAGAGCCAATAACATTTTTACATTTTATATATTTGGTAATTCATTTGTTACACTTTCATAAGCAGTTATTGTCTAGTCTGGCAAAATTCATTTTCCCTACTTTAATAACTGCCAAGGTTAGAGTACTTTAGACAAATTCAGGCTGATTTTTGGAGCACAAGGGAGTAGTGATTTTAGTTAGCAGTGTGATAAGATCATTTACAATTTCCAAAAGTACAATACCCAAAGAAATGTCAGCCACATTACATCAAAGTAGCATAGAGGTATGCCAACATTCTCTCCACTGTGCATGTTTAAAATGCAAACAACTTCACATTATATACATCACTTTCTCAAAAGTACATAAAAACTGGTAAGCACCACCTTTACGGTTTGTTAAGAGTAATCATCGGAACAAACAAAACAGATTCTGATCTACAGGTGCATTTGATTTTCGTTATTTGCAGTTGACTTAAATTATATGGTAGGTATTAGTAAGGCATGGTTAGGTTGGGAGATTATGGACTAAACCATCTTGTCAACAATGACCTTTGGTCAAGGTATGTGGTCTAGACATAAACTTGCTGTGCAGAAACCATTTTTTATTATCATGTTTTTGTTGACCTTGACCCACGGACTTACACATTTTATGGAAGGCAGCTTGCTGGCTGCAAAATTTAACCTCTATGAAAATTTGACCTTGTCCCAAACATATGATTGAGTAAAACAATCAAATAAAATATGGTATATGTTAAGTAAATCATATATTTAAACTTTTATTTTCCTTTAGGGATGAGTACCTTCTAAACACACATATCAAAAAGATCTTGTATTATCAACAATTAACATCTACTCAACATAAAATCTGCAAAATACACCAAAACAGTCTTTGAAAAACAACAGCTAAGAGTCAGAAGTCAGAAAAACTGCCCAAGGCTAAGGTAGGACTTGAAGTTTGCAAATCCTGAATATGTTAAAATTTTAAGATTAAAATATAGCCAATATAATGAAAACATAAATATTTTTTATTTGTAAAAACTTGCTTTAAATAGTAAATATTCAGATTATTGTGGCTGTGTAAGAAAATGCAAAGCTGACCTTGACATTGACTACATGATGGAAATGATGCATAACAGATGAAAGAAACTGTGGCCAGGTATGAAGAAAAACAAGCTAAATATAAAAAATAAAAAAAGGTGCTGATATAAGTATTGTGGTGAGATAGAATGTATAAAACCTGCAGAACATGAAACATTAGGAACTGAACTGTCAGTAAAATAACTTACACTGAACAAGAGTTTTATGCATTTTAGCAAGACCATTACTGTGAAATAAATTTTTTTTATCTTGCATTCATTTCCCAGTTTTGGGACTTGCCCATGGACAAGTGCTTTGCAAAACTTGAGCTTGTGGAACTGAAATAAAGCCAGATTGTTTGGCCAGGGAATTTACTCTCGAACAAATATTACTGTGTAAAACCTATTTTTATTCTATGTCCTTAAACTATGGCCTTTTATTCCCCTATTCCTTACTTACAAGCTGTCAGAAAATAAATACATAGTCTTAAACTAATTTTTCTTCTTAAATTTAAAGTGTTCTTTGACCTTTTACCCCAAAATCTATTGGATTGTTTCATAGCAAAGGTGTAAACCATCCACAGTTTTAAAGGTATGTGGTCAAAAACAAAAGCTTTTATGCATAAATTATTTTTCATTCACAGTTACCTTGCCCTTTTATCTTCTGACCCACAAATGAATAAGATTCTTTTGCCATCCACAAATTTTAATGCAAGTCTATAGTACATAACTAAAGTTACTGTACAGAAATCATTT